CCAGGCTGGCCTCGAACTCACAGAGACCCACCTGCCTCTGCCTCCTGAGTGCTGGGATCAAAGGTGTGCATCACCACCATCAGCATGTCTTTAAATAAATAAATAAATAAATAAATAAATAAATAAATAAATAGAAAGGATAAAGGAAAAAGGACAGGCTACAGATGCCTAGAGGTAGGCTACCTGGCAGGATGAATACAATGAAGACACTCATGTTGGATGTGAATGGGGACGGCAGGCCAGGCCACCCAGAAGGAGGCTTTTAGAATACTGTAGGGAGTCACTGTTTAACTATACTCCATATTTGTTTATTTCTCATGTAAACTCCGACTGGGCTTCCAGGAGTTTGGCTGCCAGGGCTCAGACCTAAGGCAAACATCCTGAGGTCATTCTCTGAAGATGGAGGGACATCAAGGACCCTTAAGAATCTGCCCAGAGGTCAGAACTGGCCTATATCTTTGAAATCACAGCTCCTTCCCACAGAGGAGCAGTGACTGAACCATGGCCACACAGCCCTGGTGCTGCTCAGGAGGTCAGCTGAATTTTCAGTCACTCTTCTCTCCAGGAAGTGAGGGACCAAGCCTTCTTCCTGAGCCACCAAGGTGACTTCTCTGGGTTTCTGATCCTATACTATACCCTCTGTTTCTGGATAGGAACACAAAAGCTCTGAGAACCCTTTTGTAATCATTTGCCGATACTTGTGTTAAACTTAACTTTGATATCCACAGTATTCAAAGAGAACGGGTCCTTTAATAGGTGGGGCTGTGGTGGGAGGTGACCTGGCTATGATGTAGAGGGGAAGGGATTCATGCCAGTCTCACAGAGTGAGTCAGGCTGTTCCAGAGTGTTTAGTTCCTGTGAGAGCAGTTATGAAGCAGTCCTTTCCAACGCCCCTAGATCTCTTTGACACACACTCATGCCATGTACCATGCCATCTACCACGCCATAACACAGCCAGAAGGACCTTCCTTACCTGAGAATGCACACATGGATAAAGCTGCAGGAGTTGGGACTTCCAGTCCCCTGAACTGTGAGCTAAGTAACCCTCTTTCCTTTTAAATCACCCAGCCTCAGAGATTTTATTACAGCATCAGAAAATGAATCAAGACACACTCATCTACAACTATGATTCTTGGCATATCCCATAGCAAGATATAGCAGCAGTAGTCTGTGTATCTTATAGCTAACATGAACAATGCTGCTATGACATTTATTTATAACTATTTATGTAGACACATTTTTTTTTCAATTATTTGGGGTAAATACAAAAAGTGAAATTGTGGAGTCATATAGTAAGTATGTATTTAACATTTTTTTTTCTGAGACAGGGTCTTACTATGTGTAGCCTGGCCATACACCTTTTTGAAGAACTGTCTATGTATCCCTGGCTGTCCTGGAACTTGCTGTGTAGATGATCAGGCTGGCCTCAAACTCACAGGGATCCTCCTGCCTCTGCTGGGATCAAAGGCACCCACACCCTCATCTGAGCCTCAAACAGAATTTTAAAGTTGGCTCTAATATTTTCTGTTATTGCCAGGAAGGTATGTGGTCTCCAATCTTTCCACATTCTTACCAACGCCATCTACTTTACACTTGTAGTAAGTTACACTACATAGATTTGATCAGCCTTTCCTCAATAAGTCATGATGCCAAGTGTTTTTCATGAGCTTGTGAGCCACTGGGGTGTGGGTGTGTGTACATTTTTGTGAGACGTGATTGCTCAGATCCTCTGCTCTATCCCCCCCCAACCCCCAGATAGGGTGTTACTGTGCAGCTGTAGCTGGCTTGGGACTTGCTATGTAGAGCAGGCTAGACTTGAACTCACAGAGCATGTGCAGGAACCTCCTGAATGCTGGGATTAAAGGTATGAGTGTCCACTCCCAGTAAAGCCCTCTGGCCACTCTTCCTTTTAAGGATTTATTTTAAATTCTCTCTCTGTGTGTGTGTGTGTGTGTTGTGGATATGCATGCACTCCCCTAGAAATTGCCCTGATGCCCTCAGTTCTAGATGAAAGGAAGCATAAATGTCAGAACTCAAGGGCACGGCTTCAAATCCTGTTCTCCCACTCTATTGTTGGTAGCATGTTTCCTAAGAAGGGCATTACGCAGTTTTTGAAAGTTTTACAAAATTTACTATTATTGTGTATGGACAATGTATGTGTGAGAGTGTGGGTGGGCCAGGGAGCATGTGTGGGAGCCAAAGGACAGCTTGGTGGAGTGGTTGGGTTTTCTCCTTCCGCCTACTGTGTGGGTTTCAAAATGGATCTCAGCTGGCACCTTTACCTGTTGTCATCTCAGGAGACTTCACCGCACAGCGTATAAACAGTGCCAGAACTATAAATCACAATTGTTGGTTGCTTCCTCTAACCTATGTCCCTTAGGACATCTGCCGTGTGGGGTGCTCATTCCTGTGTCATTTCTTCCTTGAGAAAGTAATGATACCTAATTGCTTTGTCTCTTCCAATGCTCACAGCATCAAATCTGTGTATGGACATTCATCGGATGAATAAGTAAACTAATAATGACCATAGGGAGTCAAGCTCAGAAAATAGAGCGAGAGACCACTGGCACCGCACACAAGAGCGATCTAGTTAAGGATGCCACAACTGGACCATCCTCACCAATGTCTGGTAGACAGTTCTGAGCATGTGGGCTGTGTGTGTGTGTGTGTGTGTGTGCACGTGTGCGCGCATGCGCCCTGTTCAAGAAGAATAGAAATGACACAGACTTTTCAAATTTGCCTCTCCCCCCCTTTTTAAATTGCCATGTATAAGATGAATTAGAACCAAAAAAAATTACAGACAAGGGAGTGTTTCGGAAGAAGCTATTGGCATGGTCTATTCAAAACAGACTATGGACGTTTCTCAGTTTGGGAAGAACGGGGAGGGCTGGCGAGGTGGGGAAACACAGAATGAGGGAGCGGCACACATCCATGTGTACTGAGTTTTGAGTTTTCTGGAAGCAGATGCTGAGAGAGAGTTGGAGATGCAGGATGTTTACTGGAGGAGGAAGCAGGATCGAGTTGAGTAAAAAGTTAAAGTGTTTTGTAGACCTCATACAGGCCCAGACAACCTGGCAGGGAGCTCTGGAGTAATTGGGCACAGCTGGGTGTCCATACCTCTGCTGTGCCAGTCACAGGGGGAGGACAGTCACAGGACAGGCATGCCCTTGTGCTGGACTGTTCTCTGCAGCTGAGGTGGTCGCTGGGAACTGAAGTGGCTAAGGACCCCTGTTAGCTGTACTCCCTGAGGTGGGCAGCAGGCCCCTCCCTGAGGATAAACTCAGCAGCATGCCTCTCCCTGAGGATGAACTCAGCAGCATGTTTCTGAGCTTCCCACAGAGAAAGAGGAAGGGCAGGAAGGAGAGAATGGACCCTATAGATTTTGCACATTATAGGTGTGAATAAAGAAAAGTAAGTAAATAAAGCTTACCACTGAGGTTTCTACAAGGATCCATGTGAATGTATTTCTTTTACCTATTAACACATATTAAATAACAGGAGAGAAAAGGGAGGGGAAAAGGTAATAAAATTGAATTCTCCTACATTGACTTTGAATATCCTCAAGATATTAAGGTAGAAACCATGTTCAAAGGAAGCTGGGTGCAATAGGCATGCTTATAATCCACAGCGTCCGGGGCTGAGGGAGGAGGATCATGGGTTCAAGGCCAGCCTGGCCTACACAGTGAGATCCTGTCTAAAACAAAACAGAAGTGAGTGCAGGGTTGGAACTGCTGTTCAGTGTCAGGAGCCTGCCTAATCTTTGTGAAGCCTTGGAGTTGGTCCCTTGGGAAACAATTAGTGCAAATGTGGTATTTGGAGCGGTAGCCATTGCTATACTCATGATACATGTATTATCTTACTTGGATTAGTTTACCTGATACCCATAATGTCTGTTTGAAGTAGAAATTTTGTTGTGTCCTTTTTGTGTATTTTATTATCCCTTTAAGGAAGAAAGATTTGGAGAAGTTAAATGCCTGACTCCAAGATGTAAAACTGAAATCTGATTTTAAAATGTTCCTAAAGCTGAGTGGTGGTGGCACATACCTTTTTTTTTTTTTTTTTTTTTTTTTACATAGCAATCCCAGTCCCCCTTCTCCTGCTCCCCCCACTCCACTCCCCATCCACTTCTCAGAAAGGGTAAGGGGTGGCACATACCTTTAATCCTAGCACTCTGTGTGGTGGGAGAGGCAGGTGGATCTCTGCAAGTTTGAGGCCAGCCTGGTCTACACAGTGAGTTCCAGGACAGCCAAGGTTACACAGAGAAACCCTGTCTCAAATAAGTTAATAGAAAAATAAATACATATGTTCTTGAAAATTAAAAAAAAACGTGTGTGTGTGTGTGTGTGTGTGTGTGTGTGTGTGTGTGGCCAGTGCTCCAGGAGGCCAGAAGAGGGCACCAGACCAGACTCCCTGGACCTGAAGTTACAGGCAGTTGTGAGTGCTGCCATCCTGGGTGCTGGTAATCCAACCCTGTCTACTGTAAGTTAAGAGTACTGTCTCTTAACTACTGAGTCATCTATCCAGCTCCAAACACATGCTTGTTGCTTCACAGAAACCATGTGAAGCTCTGGAATTCAGTGCATAGAAAAAAGAAGTAGGAGGAAGAGGACAGCATCTCCAAGGTGAAAGGAGGTTGAAAAGAGTCCCAGAATAGTTTTATGAATTACAGTGTCTCAGAAGAGAGTTTCCAGCTCACAGAGTCAAATGAAGCACACATTATGGAGGATGATGGTGACAGTGACAGATCATGATCTTTGACTACTTCATAGAGAGGTTACACCACTGCTTACTGTGTGACTGACAGATGAGGAAATAGAACAAAGGGTATAGGTTATTTTTTTCAGACGTTTTAATAAAATACAGGAAATAATTACACCTTTTACATAAATAAGATATTTAATTAATTATTACCTGTTCTCCCATATTGTTTGATCTTAACAATTGTGACATTTCTCTGGTTCTTTCAAACCAGTGTCCCATCCCAAACTGGACACACCAAATGTTTATTTTGGTTACAGGCAACTCATTTTATTTAGTTAGATGTTGTGATACGCCTCCAATGAATCTGCCTTTGCAAGTGGGTCACAGACACCCCAAGTCTATCGTCTGATCTCCACAGATAAGCAAACACTGCTGCTTCTCAGACCAGTTAAACAAGGCATGCACGTTGCTCTCAAGTGCTTTGTCTACAAACCCTCTTTGCATCCCTTCCTCAAACTGGTTGGCAGCTGCAGGAGAAAAAGTGAGTTGTTGCGCTAAACCTCCTGAGATTGGGTGGTCCACTGGGGGAGACAGTCTGTTTGGCTTCCTAAGAGCTGTGACCTTCCCTTACCAGCCCTCATCAGTCCAGCCCTTTCTCTGAGAGGACTTGAGAATAATTAGCAGCGCCGTCCACCCGTGCACAGGAAGATGCCCACGGCCACACCAGCAATTATGAAACTGCCCATCAGGATGCCCAGGACCAGTGAAGTGTAAGAGCGGCCTGTTTGGCTCCCTGCAGAACAGGCAGAGACTGAGTTTAAGAGAATAATCCCAAGGAGTCCCAAGTTTGGCTTGAACCCCAAGGCATCTATACTTCACCCAGTGACTTAAGCCATGGTCATGTACCCTCTCCCAGTCTCCAAACCCCTCCTTTCGTTGCACAAGGGATACTTCAGGTCCATCCACTTGCCTAGAAGCTGCCCCCTGTCCCAACACACAGGCAGGGCCCAAACCCCCTCATACCTTTCATGTTTTGTGTAGTGATGTGGTTCTCCACATACTTCACACAGGTGTCCTGAAGAAATTCCTGCAGTTCATACCGAGTCCGATTGTAGGCATTAAGCTGCTTCAGGGTGAAGGTGAGAGCTTCGGAGGGCTCCTGGGAGCCAGTCACCCACAAGGCAGTCTTTGGCTGGAAGCTTACAAAGGAGCTCCCATTCACAGCCACATCGAAGAAGACGTGGGCTTCAGAGCTCGGGGCTTCAGAACTCTCAGTAGACTGCTTGGCCGGTAGCTCACAGCCCAGGGAGCAAGTGATTGTGAGAGGAACTAGAGAGAGAAGGGAGGGGGGCTCAGTCTTGTACTTGCTTGAGAAGGTGCCAGGTGTGGGGGATGTCCACCCGGAGCAAAGGGGACATGGACGGAAGATGGGATTGGGGGCTTGAGGACACAAAAGCCTGACTGGAAAGTGCTGAGGTTTGATTGTTGCAGCCCATCTAAAAAGGCCCCAGGAACCACGAAGAAAAAGTGAGACCATGAAGAGAAAGGAGCAGAGAAGGGATGTGAAGGGGAGCGGAGCGGTGGTTTCCCAGACCAATAAATTAAATAAATCAGTGGAGTCTTGGAGAGGAGTTGGGGCTACGAGGGAGCTGTGGGTGGGACCATCAACATCGATGAGAAGAGGGCAAAGTGCTTCGCTGTATGAAGCAAAGTGTAGCGGAGTATGAGGGAAAGGAGTTGGCAGAGTAGTCATTGAAACTTTGGGGGTCAGAGAGGATCCAGGGCTAGGAGATCTCCTTCCCTCCTTCCATCCCTCCCTCCCTCTCCCTCTTCCCCCTCCCCCCTTTCTCATCAGATAGAGGTTTCTTACAATTAGGAGCACTGCTCTTCTCCAGGCCCCACAGAACAATCTCCAAGGGCCAGGGCTCTTCAGGGAAGCCCCACTCCACAGACCACGCCCATCTTCCCCTCCCACTCACAAAGATCCTGCTGTTTAGAACCTTAGCCTTAGCACCCTAGCTCCGCCACAAGCCCCCTCAGACCCTCTCAATCTCCAGGGCTCCTGGCAGCCCCGACCCAGCACCCCACTCACAGACTACGCTGCTCTTGCGCTCGCGATACACCAGCTGCACCAGGGAGTGGAACTGGGACAGGTAGAGCTGCAGGCCCTGCTCTGTGTGCTTCCAGCTCTCGGGATCCTGCCAGGGTTGCAGCTGGAGGATGGTAACATTGTTGCTTGGGCCCTCCAGTGTGTGTGTCAGGATTTTCCCCAGCGAGGCGTTGCCCTGATGTCTCACGTGATCGGGGTCTCGGAAGTAGGAGATCTGGAGCATACGCAGGCTTTGAGAGCCTGGGGGAAGAGTCAGTGCGGCGTCAGGATCTCCAGCCAGGGAAGGGGTGGCTGACAGCTAGAGATAATAACCCCTTACCCAGAGGCCTGCTGCCCATTTCAACAATCATATAAAGCGCTCTCCCACCTGCCCTCCTATTTGATGCTCACAACAACCCTGCCAGGAGAGGACAGGGATTATTATCTTCGCTTTACAGACGAGGAAACTGAGACCTGCAGTTGGAAAAAGGCATCCCTCTGTGCCTTTGCCTCCTCCCTCACATGTCCAGCTTATCTCACTCCGGCCTATGATAAAACCCCAATTCCAGCTCCAGTTCCCTTTCTCCTGGGACACTGCCATCGAGGCTTGGGTACCACCGTGACTCATTTCTCAATTTCACCCTTTTGTTTTGTTTTTCGAAACAGGATCTCATTGTGTAGCCTGGGCTATACTGGAGCTGGTTCTGTAGATCAGGCTGGCCTCCAACTCAGGGATCCTCCTGTCTCTGCCCCCCCTGTGCTGGGATTAAAGCATGCATGTGCCACCACACTGGGCTCAGTTACATCCCTTCTTACTGCATCTCCACTTGACCCAAAACCCTTAAAGCCCTCCAGTGCCATACCCTACCCCTTCCAAATAATAATAGCTAATATCCATTAAGTGCTTGTTATGCCTTGGGCGCTGTTTTACACACATTATTATCTTATGTATGCCTTCCTCCTAATGCCTTAACACAGTAGCTACTATTATTAACCCCGTGTGTATGGGAATCTGAGGCTAACATGGTGAAGCAAGCCAAGATTTGAACACAGGTAGCTGAAGCCTACCCGTTTTTGTCTGGAATAGATTGCTTCCCCATAGGACACCCGTCCACAGGACAGATCTTAGAGTTTGGGATCCACAACAAGTGATCTGGCCCCAGCTGTATTTTCTGTGTTCAGTTTTTTCAAATGGCTTGGAGTTCCTCATGCTGACTTTTGGCCACTGCATGCAGAGCTCATCAGGGTTGCTCTGCTGTCCTTGTTCTGCCTGGCAAATTTCTATCTGTGTTCCGAGATTCAGCTCCGTCGCCTTCTCCTTGGAGCACTGTCTCATCCCCCGTCCCCCTTTTCACCTGGGTCTGGGCAAAGTGTGTTGCATCAGCACAGATTTCATGGGATTCCTAGTGTTAGTGTCCACACACACCAGGCCCCTCCTGGCTGTTAAACTGGGTTTGGTCAGCCCTGCTTTCAGTACCCCGAAAAGGGCCTTGGCAGTATTGGAGCCAGGACAAGGGCTGAATGAGTATGACATTGTAAGTCACCCCAGCCCCTGTTGCATTTGAGAAGTTGCTTTCTGTGATATGCTGGTGTGAGCAACCTTAATGCTATCCCTTATCTGTTTTGTGGCCCAGCTTTCTCCCCTGTAAGATCAGTGCGATAGCATTCTGAATACTGCTTCTCAGGGAGGGAGACTGACCTATGGGGGCGGCGGCGACGGTAGTGTCTGGCGTAGCTCTATGGCTCTTTTTCTGTTTAAGAGCTTCCAGCAGCTGGCTCCTTCCAGCCCTGGGCTCTTCTCTGTCCCCTGTCCCACCTCACTAGCGTTTCTCTAGCCTTTCTCCTCTTTCTCCACCTCCCCATCTCAATCCCCAAACTTGTCTCAGTTCTCCTAATGTTTTCCCTTTCTCTCCATCTCAACTCCTCGCTGACTCTCTTCTGTCTGACACTCTGCTCTGTCTCTATCCTCATTCTCACTCTCGACAGGTCCCTTCCACCAGCCTCCTGAGAGGTAACTGAACTTCTTCGCCTTCTCTTTGGAACATAAACCAATGTCCAGGACCCAGCGTGCACGGTAGAGCGATCCTAGCAGCTGTAGACACCCGTGCGGCGGGTTTAGCTATCCGACAATCTTGTCAAAGTTTCCAAATACACCAAGTCCCCAGAACATCCCCAGGCAGGAGCCGCGTCCCTAACTTACCATCTGAGTCTTCCTGGTTACAAAAGGCGCAGCCAGGCAGCAGCAGCAGCAGCAGCGACAGCAATTTCGTCAACATCCTGGAGTAGAAGTTCTTGGTCCCACCTGGTCCGGGGCAGACTCGGGCTCCGCAGGCTGCAGATTAGGAAAGAGACGGGAAGCTGCCCGGGAGGGGCGGGAGCTGAGCCGAGGATGGAAAGAGACCAGGAATGCCTGGAGGAAGAGGGAGTCAAGCTTTTAAAGTGTTACTTCTATCTACCTCATTTCCTACTAGGGGGCCGGCTCGCCTCGGCCCCTCCCAGCCTTGGCCCGCTTGCCTAGACCTGCCTGTTCCCTTCTCCTCCCGCTGCTTGCTTCCGAGGCTTGAGGAAGAACGGAAAAGGGGGAGAAGGGCTTGGTGAGAAGTCCGGCTGCCGCTGAGTCAGGGGGTGGGGCGTCTGCTTTCGTTGTTGCTGACTCCAGGAATATAGAGATCATTAGGTTACTGATGGGGAAACTGAGGTCCGAAGAGATGGTGGGACTTGCCCTAAGTTTGTACGCCGTGATGACAGCGGATCCAGGATTGGAATTTAGCTTTCCAGAATAACTGTCTATATTTTATCAGAAGTTTAAGTATTACACACTCGGGGCTTGGCTCTCAGCAACAGTCACAGAACCGAGTGAGTATATAGGAGTTCATTATTTGTAATAGAGAGTTACGAAGGATCCAGACAAAGCTCAGCATCAAACAGGTCATAGTCATTTAATGGACAATGACATCACAATTAGCATAGTTTTTGGTATTTTGTATTTTGTTTTTTTTCTTTGTTATGAAGAAATTTGGTGCATCATTCTCAGTAAGCAATATTTCCTGAAATATGTGTTCATTTATATAAGGGTGTTTTTAGTTTGTGCATCTTCTTCTTCTAACAAAATCTCAATATCTGTATCAGACTGGCTTTGAACTCACAGAGATCCAGCTGCCCCTACCTCCTGAGGACTGGGATTAAAGACACGAGCCTCTGTGCCTGACCTTTTAAGCATTTTGTAAGTTAGCATGCACAGCAATGAATTTCATTATGGCATTTTTCATATATACATACATACATATATATACACACACATACATATACTATGTGTGTGTCATTATACTTTGTTCTTAGATGTCCTCCTCTACTGTCCTCCCTCATCTCCTTGCCTTCCTCTCTCTTCTCCCCCTCCATTGCCCATCTCTTTCATCCCCTTTATAAGTTTTGTGTATGCTCATGCCGCACGTGCGCGTGCGCGCGCACACACAGATTCTACATATGAGATAAAACATGCAGTACTTTCACTTAACAAGATGACCTGAAGGGGCTGGAGTAATGGCTCAGTGGTTAAGAGCTTTGCCTTTTCTCCCAGAGGACCTAGGTTCAATCCTCAGCACCCACATGGCAGCTCACAACTGTCTATAACTCTTAAGGTCTTTCACCTTCACACAGAAATGCAGGCAAAGAGAGCAATGCACATAAAATAAAGAAAAAAAGATGACCTGAAGTTCCATTTGTTTTCTTGTAAATATTACAATTTCATTCCCCCCTTTAGTTAAATAGAATTCTATTTTGCTTATAAGCCACATTTTAAAAAATCCATTCATGTGTTGATTGATGTGTGGGTATGTTTCAATGAAGGGTTTGGACAGCAGTATGAAATGCAGATATTATTTTGGGAAGCAAGTAGATCCATTTAAAGTCAGTCCCCCAAATTAGGAAAGTCCCTATGGTGAAATACTACTCAGAAGTAAAAACAAAAATAAAATGCTTCCCTTCAAAATCCCCACTTAATTTTCATATTTCTTAGAACCACTAGAAGTTGTATTACTTATTTCCATAGTTGTCTGAATTTTCCACCACAGTGCAAGCACCATGGGAATGGAAGCTGTCTGTCCATTTTGCTCTGTGCTGGTCCATTGATGCAATTACACATAAGCATCCACTAGACAAATGACAGAGTGAGGGTGTCATGATTTGTACACATCTCTAGGAGTAAATTATAGACCACGATAAGCAGCTTAGAACCATTTGTTCATCTATCAGCCACATACTAACCAAGCACACCTGTCTCTGTATGGAAGCAAATGAATCTGGACAGATATGTATTAGGTGGAACAATTTATTTCCAGGGAGGGGAGGGGAGAGGGAAGAAGAGGAAGAGAGGGATGGAGGGAAAGGGAGACAGAGACACAAAGAAAGACACTGATAGGAATGGGAGATCTTGTGGGGAAAAAGTTACCACTATTTTGCAAAGGGTTTTCCCCATTATAAATATAATTGCTTTAAATGGTCGATTTTATGTCTAGAATATGATCATATATTTCCTGTTTAATTAAAAACAAGAATTTTAAGTAATAGGTTGAGGTACATCCCTATACTAGAATAATCCATGGTGTGGGAAAGGGTGGAGAACAGGGTGATACTGACAGTGCAGTAGGATTTGTGGACCAAATACAGGTAGCATATCCCATGTGTTCTCATTTTAAAATGCACAGCGGCCCAAGTAATGCATTTACAAGTCCAGCCTCATGTTTCCTAACCATGTATCTATTTGTCTGTTTGAATGAACAGGAGAATGTCTGGAGGCTGTCTGTGGCTCAAGATTGCCCCGGCAGAACAGGATTGGGTCAAAGGCCAAAAGAGGAACTTGAACTTTTTATCTGATCTCCTCCCCGGTGTCACAGTGGAATCTGGGAGAAACCATGGTTATGTGTAGGCTCCCATTCTGTTTCTGTAGGCACTCTCATGCTTACCTCTCTGTTCTTGCAGATTTTACAGCTCACCATCTTGCTCTGAACTGAAGACCCAGGGGCTTCAAAATGGAGTGATTTAAATCGTGGCCAATCTCAACGTCTTGAATGTTTAAAAGAAGATCGTCTTGCATTTGAAGAACTATTACTTCATGTTCATAGCATTATATTCTAAATAACTAAAACGACATTCACTCATTCTCACTTGTAGCTCTCTTCCCTGTATTAACCCCTGAATTTGTAATATCAAATGAAAACGAAATTTGACCATTTTTCCATTTCTTTGTATTTCTGAATATTTATGTCATATATATGCATGCATCTTAAATGATACGGTGGTATCTTCTACTCTGTGGAAATAACACTAGCATGCATTAGTCCTTTTCAATCTGCTTCATTCAATTGTTGTGTCAATTGTGTTGTACAGTCATTGTTACAGCTTTACCACATTCCGTTTTAAGGGTATACTCCACTGGGGGGGCTGGAAAGCTGACTCAGCAGTTAAGAGTACTGCCCGCTCTTCCAGGTGACCCAGGCCTGATTCCCAGCACCTACACAGCAGTTTGCAGATTTAACTATGCTCACAGTCTGTAACTTCAGTTCCAGGAAATTCAACACCCTTTTCTGACCTCTGAAAGCACCAGGCATGTACAAGATGCAAAGACACACATGCAGGCAAACATTTACACACATAAAGTCAAACAAATAAACCTGAAAAGAGTATATCACTGTTTCTTCATCATCTGATATTAGACATTACTTTTCTGTGCTTGTTCATATGTATATATTTATATGTACATGCACATACATGTGGAGGCCAAAGGTAGATGGTTAGGTGTCTCCCTTAATTGCTCTCTATCTCCTTCTTTTCCCTTCTTCTTTTCATGTGTTTGTATGTGTGCATATGTGCATTCAGCTCACATGTATGTAGGTACATATGCATGTGAAAGGAAGCATGTATGTGAACATGTATGCAGAAGCCCAAGGCTGATGTCAGTGATATTCTTTGGTCATGCTTCCATCATCACTCAGTCACATAGAGTTTGAGGTCAGTGAGCTGGCTCAGCAGGTTAACACACTTGACAGAGTGCATACCAGACGGACTCTGGTATGCAGGCCCCTTTTCTCCATTGACTTTAATTAATCTCCTCCCCAACCCCCAGAACTTGAATAAAGCTAGTCTCACTGGCCAGCTTGCTCTGGGGAGTCCTGTCTCCATCTTCAGAGGCTAGAATGCCCACCTTCATTTACCCGGGCTCTGGAGTTGTGCATTTTAACCACTGCACTATTTCCCTAGCCTTTCATCTTATCTTTTGAGACAGGGTCTCTCCCTAAACCTGGAACTTACTGACTGGCTGGCCAGCAAGCCCATGACTCCTCCTGTCTTTGTGTCTCCAGTGATGGGGTTACAGGTGCAACATGCCAGGCTGGGCTTTTTATATGGGTGCTGGGGACCCGAACTCAGGTCCCCATGATTGAAAGGCAAGCAGGTTTTTGACTGAGCCATCTCCCCCCTCCTGACATTTATGTTTGTTATTTGTATGTTATGAGCAGTACTGGCATGTGCATTCATGTTTATGATTCCTTGTGTCTAGATGGGAGAGTTTGTGTAGCTGCACACCTGGGCGTGGACTTGCTGAGTCACAGGGTACGTGCCTTTCAATTTGGGTAGATACTGCCAAAATCTTTTACAAAGATGTGTGCTAATTTGCATTCCCAGCAGTGTGTAGTTCCCCGGCTCACATCCTTGCCAGCCCTTGGTAGCAGCAGGTGGGGGGTGTAAAACGGTGGTGCTCAATCTGGCTTAACTTTTTGCCGATTCCTAATGAGCTCGTGTGTCTCTTTGCTTTGACTTTTCGTCCTTTGTGGCCTGGGAAAGTGTTTTGGGATTGAAGGAAATGAACTCCACACTGCAACCATTGTTCACATGCAGTTTGAGATGGAGTACTGGTGTCAGTGGTGAGGGATGGAGGCTTCATGACTTTGGCACTGAAAAGAGGTTCAGGACAGGCAGATCTGTGATGAAACAGAGATTAATCGATCTTAAGGTAGGCTAAATGTGAGGATTAGGAAAAAGAGAGGCCCTTGGAAGAAAGGAAGACACAACAGGCATGGGCTTCTCCAATAGAGAGCAGCAGAAAGGAAAATAGAGGAGGGTGGCTCTGGGCTCTGCAAAGGACACTCACAATCAGAGGACCTTAGTGTTAACTGCATATACACCATTTTAGTGGTTCTCAAGTTACAGCTCAAAAGGCTGATAAATGGTCAGCTCAGCTGGTATCGGTCCTTTCACACAGCCTGAGTTAAAACACACAAGCACCACACATACACACACATTAAATAAATAAATGATTTGAAGTTGCTGAAGGCTCCTCTTTTAAACATTTTATTTATTATTTTATGCATGTGAACATTTGCCTGCATGTATGTATATACACTGTGTGGCTGCCGGGGAACCTTCAGA